TTTTAAAAACGTTTGTGATCACCAATATGGTGAAGTTTTCTGTTAGGAGATGTTTATGTAACCTCTATGGAAGGAGTCTCCGGTGTCAGCGCTTTGTGTCAGTCAGAGGTAAAGCTGTAAATGAACGATTTCCGACATATTCAGGACATAAGGACGTGAGATCATGTGATCATAAGGTGACGGTCAGTTTACTCTGTGCGGATTCTCCATAACATGACATGCTGCAGTTTTTTGATATACCTCTACGTTGGCAAGAACAACTTTCTGAACCCTTTGGAATGTATAAATGTGTCTTAAAATCTGGTTTGATCTTCATGTAAGTTACTATAATCAACAAACACAACCGGTTTATCGTGCTGTTCTTGTACATGTTGAATATTTCATTCAAATATTCACCGTAAATGTTGGAAAAAGGATGTGAAGCGCTAGGCTAATGACGTCAACGAAAGCTAATTAGAGTGGGAAGTTGGTGACCCTGGCATCCAATCAATGAGACTGGAGGTGTGTGACACATTTAGAGTTTGTTCTTCACAAGAAGCATCCGCTGATGTGAACCATACCTTGCAAAAAAGACATCTCAGAAGACCTACGATCAAGACATTGCAGCCAAAGGAGGATCAACCAGCAATTAAGCCCAAGAGTTCACTCACTTTTTCCACAGCACTGTGAACGTTTAATGGGATGTGTTCAGTAAAGACGTTTAAGATTATCAACGTTTGAGTGTCGTTATCATGGCTTAAACAAAGCTTGTGAGGTTGATGAAGATCACATGAGATCACATTTTGTGACCAATTAACGCAGAAAACCAACTACAGCGGTGCTTGAAAGTTTGTGAACGTCTATATTTATGCTTAAATTTAACCTAAAACATCATCAGATTAAAAGTAGATAAAGAGAACCCAATTAAACAAATGAGACAAAAATATTTTGCTTGGTCATATTTATTTATTGAGGAAAATGATGCAATATTAGATATCTGTGAGGGGTAAAAGTATGTGAACCTTTGCTTTCAGTGTCTGGTGTGACCCCCTTGGGCAGCAATAACTGTAGATAAACGTTTGCTGTAACTGTTGAGCAGTCCTGCACATCGGCTTGGAGGAATTTTAACCCGTTCCTCAGTACAGAAGAGCTTCAACTCTGGGATATCGGTGGGTTTTCCTCACAAAGAACGGCTTGCTTCAGGTTCTTCCACAAAATTTCTATTGGATTAAGGTCAGGACTATGACTTGGCCGTTCTAAAACATTAACTTTATTTGTCTTTAACCGTTCTATGATAGAAGACTTGAGTGTTTAGAGTCGTTGTCTTGCTTCATGACCCACTTTCTCTTCAGATTCAGTTCACGGACAGATGTCCTGACGTTTTCCTGTAGAATCCGCTGGTATAATTCAGAATTCATTGCTCCATCAATGATGGCAAGTCATCCTGACCCAGATGCAGCAAAACAGCCCAAACCATGACACTACCCCCACCACGTTTCACAGATCGGATAAGGTTCTTATGCTGGAATGCAGTGTTTTCATTTCTCCAAACATAACACTTTTCATTTAAACCAATAAGTTTCATTTCTGTATGATTTTTTTTGTTTTTTTATCACTGGCAAATTGTTGTGTTATAAGATGAATAAAACACTTTGCTGTTATGAGAAAATCAACAACAGGGTGGTTTGATGAAGCGTACTTACCATCCAGTTGTTGATTATTTTCCTATAATAGAATGATACATAATGCTTTATTCCTCACCTATGGTCATGAAGGCTGGGTAGTGACCAATAGAACTAGATCGCGGGTACAAGTGGCTGAAATGGGTTTTCTCAGGAGGGTGGCTGGCTTCTCCCTTAGAGATAGGGTGAGAAGCTCGGCTATCTGAGAGGAACTCAGAGCAGAGCCGCTGCTCCTTTGCGTTGAAAGGAGCCAGTTGAGGTGGCTCGGGCACATGGAAAAGGATGCTCCCCTGGGTGCCTCCCTAGGGAGGTGTTCCAGGCATGTCCAGGCATGTCATACACAGTTGCACGGCTACAATTTATGCTAATGCTAATTTATACAAAAAAATATCCTTATTTCTTTAAGCACGTGTTCACGAAGGGGCTTTCCATGTCCTCTTTTTCTCAGCCATGCAAAGCTCCAAACTCTTCACCTTTTAAACGTGTTTTCTCTACACATTGCTACTAGTTTTTAGCCAGTAGCGATGAAGTAGCTATAGTTTTTAGCCATGAGCTGCACTTTGACTGATGACGTAAACACGACGTTGTCATTCTCTTAAACCGCAAGTCTTTCGTCAGAAGATCTTCAACGTATATGACATACTGTATAAAGATTATATCTTCTAGAATTGAGATTTTATTTAGATCTCATACAGTGTTAGACATGTACTGATCTTAAATCCGCTAAAATCGCACAGTTAAAAACCGGCTTAGGAAGAATTGCTAATGTAGAATTCATTCTGTTTTATGATGCTCAGGAACTAATACAAGGCAAGTTAGAAATTCATATGAAATATCATTAAAGAGTCTTAAACAGCTTTCCAGAGGAAACAGTGTCTGCCTGGACGCCTCCTCCTCCTCCTTTCCTGTATGAATTGACAAGGCGAAAAATTTCAATAGCAGACTATCTAACCTCGAGCCAAGGCCGCCTGGCAGCTCGCATATTTTTGTCCCTGTATTATCTCACGATATGTGCAGTGTAAGGTTTCCAAAAAGAACAATAAACAGCTAGCAGAAGAGGTGCTCTTCTTGTTGGATTTACACCCCCCCCCACACACACACACACACCTCACTTCACTTTTTTCCCCTTCCTGTGGCTGAACTTTGTTTTGTTTTTAAGTTTTTTTTTGTTTTGTTTTTTTTGTGTGCCAAACACAATCCCTGAGCTCGCCCAATCGCGCCTGTGTGTCTCAGCCTGTGGGCGAGTCTCTGATGACCTGACAGACGGACCGCGTCTCCAATTCCGCCCACTCTTTAACTGTGGAACGTTTGGTCATGCGCAGGAAATAACTGCAGAGAAGAATAGTGTGTATTCTCCACTCCAGGATCAGATTCCCAGCGCGAAAACAGAGAGATGGAGTAGGTGGGTGGACAAAATCTCGGGGTAATCTTGAGCGTACAGTACAATAATCCTGTTGTTCACGACAGAGCACTTCTCTATACCGTATATATTTATTTGCGATGTCCTACTGATTCGTTCTACAGGTGTGTTCCTACACTTTATGCATTGTCTGTATTCTGGGAAAGTTTGACACACTCTTAACAGGAAAAGGATACACATCTGCTAAAAACACAGGTTTTATTTAAATGGGTTTCACAAAGTGGATAGAGTTTAAAGCTCCACAGCAGGTCACCATCAAATATTTATCACTATGTGCATTGATTGGAAGTAACTGAAAATGTGTATTATTTGCAAAAAAATTAATAATAATAATAATAATAATAATAATAATAAATTATAGAAAGATTGTCAGAAAGGTAAGCAGGAATATTAGGGTTTGTATTTAATAATAATAATAATAATAATAATAATAATAATAATAATAATAATAATAATAAATTATAGAAAGATTGTCAGAAAGGTAAGCAGGAATATTAGGGTTTGTATTTAATAATAATAATAATAATAATAATATTAATAATAATAATAATAATAATAATAATAAATTATAGAAAGATTGTCAGAAAGGTAAGCAGGAATATTAGGGTTTGTATTTAATAATAATAATAATAATAATAATAATAATAATAATAATAATAATAGAAATATTGTCAGAAAGGTAAGCAGGAATATTAGGGTTTGTATTAATAATAATAATAATAATAATAATAATAATAATAATAATTCCACTTTAGGTCACAAATACAAATCCAGAAACAGATAAGTACAATATAAACAAAAATAATAATAATTAGTGAATTTACACAAATACAAAATATTACTACTACATAAATGCATTTCTTACGCTGTTTGTCGGTTCTACGTGAACAAATTCATTTACGTTAAAACACTTTTAAATGGTTAACAGTTTGCTTTATCGGTTTTTATGTACAGCCAGCATGATTTGGTATTTAAAGCCCTGGAATAAAATCAAAGTGAAACATTACACAGACGAACCCAGGACCCTTGAGCCGAAGGGGCGGCAGTGCTAAGCACTATACCACTACTACGCATTTGGCCAAGATAATTCTTTTCTTAAAGTAAGTCTTTTCTTTGTGCGAGCACCAACACCTTAGTGTCGACTCCTCATCTTCTCACGAGATCGGATCCCGTTAATACCAGGGTAATGGATCGCCCTCACTCGACATAGTTCAAGCAAAACAGATTGGATTTTTTTTTGTTTACGTTAAATTGACTGTAAGCAATGAAATCAGGTTTGGAAGAGTAAATATAAACGTCAGTCTTTTTTATGTGACTTGAATCAATGACTTGAAACTTGAAGCAGACTGACCACATATGCCCTTTTTTCAGTGTAGGGTAGATACGCATATCAAATTATCTTGATATATGGATATCAGTATCACTACCTATTTAACACAGTACCCCACGATGAAAGGTTAACCATTTAAAACTATAAATAGAACTATTTAAAAATGTAACAATATCAACAAAACTACACTTAATTAGTAATAGCTTTATAATAAATTAGCCAAAAGCTAAAGGTTACTGTCTGGGAGTCTGTGCCTGTATTAACAACTTTATTTTAGAAACAAAACCTGGTTCAAGTCTAAACTGCTACATAATAATAGCCATTGGTGGATATCCATCCATCCTCAACCGCTTATTCCTTCTTCAGGGTCGCGGGGAATCTGGAGCCTATCCCAGGGAGCATCAGGCACAAGACGGGGTACACCCTGGACAGGGTGCCAGTCCATCGCAGGGTACAATCATATGCACACTCATACATACACTACGGACAATTTAGACACGCCAATCAACCTACCATGCATGTCTTTGGACTGGGGGAGGAAACCAGAGTACCCAGAGAAAACCCAAAGAACATGCAAACTCCACGCACATGGCATAGGCGGGAATCGAACCCGGGACCCTGGAGGTGTGAGGCGAACAGGCGAACGTGCTAACCACTAAGCCACCCTGTGCCCTGAATTGGTGGATATGTGTATAAAATGTGTCAGAACTAAGAAACAAAGTACTCATTTATATTTTTATTTTAAACACATACTGTAGTAATGTGTATTAATATTATTAAAAGCTCAGCTTCTGGCTTCTGGCAATTCCCCAAAATTGTCATAGCTCCACCAGAGCACCCTCCAGGAAACCTGAACCATCCATCCATCCTCAACCGCTTATTCCTTTTCAGGGTCACGGGGAACCTGGAGCCTATCCCAGGAGACATGGGGCACAAGACGGGGTACCCCATGGACAGGGTGCCAGTCAACCTGACCCATGTGTTTATTTATTTTGTTTTTATGTGTTATATAATCGAGCTACACAATTTTGATTTAGTTTAAATTCATGATGGGGAACCGAGTTAGACATCAAAGTATTGGAAAGAGACAGTTCTGTTTAAAGGCGGAAAGGAGAAATGTATTAGGTGATTCTTACAGAATGCCTCTAAGGAATTTAATGGACGGACAATGCAATTTCATCTGTATTTTGGAAAGGAAACCAGTGAGAAAGCAGTGATCTCGTTCACTGTTGATGTTTTTCCCAACTGAGCCTCACGTATATGGTATGCATGAACGTGAAGGTCCATAAAGCCATTATTCTGTGTCTACGATCCTGATATCTGCTCAGGAATTTCCGCAGTATGATATACTTCAGTCTTTGGGCTTTTGCTGTACAATAGCGCTTGTCAGGTCTCTCTGTGTGCGAATAGCATGTGGAATAGAGATTATGTTTAACGGGTTTCTGCTGTGTTCGCACATCCAACCTCACCAAAGCTCGGCCTTGAAGAAATAGTTTGGAAAATCGGTTTAACACAGTTTTCTACTTACCACGAATGCAGCGCAGCAACCGAAACCTGTTTGAGATCCACTTTCAGCTCCTGAAATTTAGCATGGATGATATTTTTGGGGATTTACAGTATATTCATGGTTATGAGGAGAATGCAATGTTGTTACACAGTCAGGAATACTACAACCACACTCACACACACACAATGAGGACTGAGAACTCCCATGTGGTGCAGATCTCTAAGGGTTTGAATCCCATCTATGCTGTGAAACCCCACGAGAACACAGTTGGAACCACAAGTGGAAATGTTAGCCATTGGTATCTATTAAATAATGTATAAGAATTGGAGGAGCGCACTTCTTCTTACAACAGAAGTGTGAACTTGCTTCATATTCCCGAAGATAAACACCTGCTAGCCTTCACTCTCTTGGGGTTATTAGCTGATGTACAACAGGCCTACCTAGCTAACATGAGGGAACTGAAATTCTTGCAAACGTCCAAGAAAACATTAGGTTTGGAACTGATAATCTGGATGCTAAACAAGACAAAAGACAGAATAAGCGGCGACAAGGCAACAAGATGAGGAGAACAAGATGGCTTCACATAGCCATTTACATTTACATGGGTGGCCTGATCACTAGCCACCACCCCCAGCACTCCAATGGGTGGGTCCTGGTAACCATAATGCAACTTGAATGCCCCTTCCAAGTGAGCAGGGAGGCCTTACCCCGATGGAGCAGTTTTAGTATATTGGGATCTTAGGGTTCTGCATGCTTCCACTATGCTTAGTCTCTGTGATAGATTGAGGTGTTCAACAATGCGGGTGAGGCTTGGAGCAGAGCCATTGCTCCTTCAAATTGAGAGGAACCAGTTGAGGTGGTTCAGCCACCATGCAAGGATGCTCCCTAGTTGGCTTTGACTAGAGCTGTATCAGGCATGTCCCACTAGATGGAGACACCAGGGCAGACCCAGGATATTCTTGAGAGATTCTCAGCAATATAATACAAGACAAGATCTGGCACAACAATACAACATAGACTTGTTAATACTCATCTTGAGAACATAACTTTTACCTAATCTGGCTGATGCTGTCATCCAAAGCCATTATGGGTTGAAGACCTTGCTCAAGGGCCCAATTGCAACTTGCTGAGGCTGGGATTTGAACTTATAACCTTCTGAGCAGCAGTTAAGCAACTTAAACTGTGAGCTACCACTACATCCGAGCTTCTCCTAACAGTAGCTGCATCTGTGACTAGCGATAAACTTACTTATGGAGTCCAATGGGTATTTAGGAGTGCAACAGTAACAGTGGAACTATTTAGATAGGAATAGTGCAAAAATCCAGTAAAAAAAAAAAACTTAGTAGTCAGTTAAACAATAAATATAGGATGATATGATATGGATCACTAGCTGCAGTTTTCCAGCAATTGAGAACATGTACACCAGCAGATGCAGGAACAGGGCTGACTGTACCATGAAAGACACTTTCCACCCTGATCATGGACTGTTTACCCCTCTTCCCTCAGGGAGAAGTCTGCGCAGCATTAGGGCCAGAACAACCAGGCCCTGAAACAGCTTCTTCCCAGAAGCTGTTAGATTTATAACACTTATAACACTCATACATCAGAGACTTTTTCATGTGTAGTAAAGCTCGTCAGAAAGATTATATTGCTGCATTGCGAGTTATATTGTTTTATTGTTTATTTATAGTACCTCTGTGTTGTGCCGCTAATTTTATTCCTCCACTTAATTTTAGATATAATGTTTTTATTTCTTTGCTGTTGTTACCGGGACCTCAGTACACTTATTTTCGTTCCTTTCACGTAGCCCATGTTTTGGAATGACAATAAACTTCCTTGAATCCTTGAATATAGATATGATGATGAATAAGATGTTCTCCCAGGTCAAAGAAGGCAATGAATCGTGTAAGCATCGATTTTCTCACTGATACGCACAACTCTTGCCCCTTTTCAGAACTGGGTCTTCAGGCGTCTACTGTAATTTCGAGTTCTTTGGAGCATGGAGAATCTCTTACCAGCATGAGGCCTTGAAAAGGTCTCTCTCTCACCCACTGTTACCTTCCCCTCCTCAAACCATGTAGCCTTTATTCCTGTATTAGCATGCGCTGCTGGGATTTAGGACAATAGCTGGGCATGCAGCCAAAACCGTAACCTATTTCGCCGGCCTGTACAGTAAATTAGACTGATTTACATTCTCTATTCAGGGAGGCTGGGAAAGGGATTTTTAAAGGCTTGCTGATTTATAGTGTGCACCTCTTATTGGTGGTTTCTGGGTATTATGACCTGGTCACACATCTCACAGTAAAGCCAGATTAATGCGTCATGAGGAGTATCCTCTGTTATGATAGGAAATTAGATATACAGTACTATTGTTGCAGATTCTAGCTGTCTTCCAGCTGCTTGAGTAACCACATCCCGCAAAGAAAGGTCAGAGGTTCTTTCATCAGCATTTTAACAACAACAACAACAACAACAACAACAACAAAAATGATAATGAAAAGAAAATCTATGGGAATAAATTGAAGACACAGGAAAACACAAGGGTAACAGAGTATGTAGTTTATTGAGAATCACTATCATACAGATCATACACTGGGGAGGGAACAGGACTTGTCAGAGAATGATCAGTAATAATAATAATCAGAATAATCATGGGAAACAGTTGAGCCTCAGTTTGAGTATAAGCATGTGCATAGATTAGCGATGGAATGATATGTTAAGCGGGATTATGAGGAAACCCTGGGGATAAATGGTGCACTTAACACTGTGTCACACTCACACCAATAGTAGCAGAGCTGCCATGCAAGGCGCTAACTTGCCATTGGGAGCAACTTGGGGTTCAGCGTCTTGCCCAAAGACACTTTGGTATGTGGAGTCATGTGGGCCAGGAATCGAAGCGCCAACCCTACGATTAGAGGACAGCCCGCTCTACCACTTGAGCCACAGCCGGATCCAGGTGAAGCTGTAACGTCCACTGCCAAATGTGCCAGCTGATCACATAGATATTGACCCAGGCCTGAGAGATCAAGCAGCCGAGAGACATGAGGTCCAGCTTTCAGACATTCTCTGGTCCTTCAGTGTCATTTTACAGCATAACATTCAGCACGTTACAAATCTGCTCGCTAGTTTCAAATATTTTTCTACACAAGCTATGTAACTGGTGCTACATTCAGGTGCCATGGAAGTAGCCTGAATTACAGGGAAAAAAATTAATAATAGAAAAAAAAAAAGCCTTTGACTTCTCATGAATTTTAGGAACCCCGAGTTCTCAAACAAAACCAGGATATTTACACAACTGGATGCATGTTGTGTGTGATAAGAAGAGATGCGCTAATGTTTTCATGGTAGTTAATGCTAGTTTAATGTTAGATTAAAACTACAGCCACAATTTATTTAGTAGACGAAGAAACAACTATTACACATTTTTTTAAAATAAATAATTTTATAGTAAGCGAATACTAATATAGATACTACACTTATTATAGTTATTAGTTATTATCAGTCTGTTCGGCGGGATTTAGCCACTTTCAAGCAAACTCTGTGATATTCGGAGGAGCTTGCAATTGCAAATGACCGCAGATTTTCAGCAGATTCGGTCCAAGATATGTCATGTGACGTCATCACGATGCACATTCAGCCAAAGCCCACTTCGGTTCACGTGCGTTGAACATGAGTACAGCTAAAAGGTCTCGTTTACCGACAAACGCCACAACAATTTTGTGCGATTGTGATTGAAAAAAAAAAAAGCAGACTGCATTTGGTGTAAATGGCACATTGTGTACTTTCTATTTCTGACCAAAGTATCTCAATGTGACTCTTGTTCATATGACACCATTTTGTTAAAGCACCTAAATATAGTGTGAAGGTGTTTTCAGATCTGTCCGTTGATTAACACGGCTCTGTGGAGGTGTGTGTTACCATGGTGACCATCCAAGAGTGATAGCATGAAGCTGAGTTTTCCACTCTGACAGTTCAAGGCCAGCTAATTGAAGGAGTCATGGAATTGTCTCTGTGTGTGTGTGTATTTGAGGATGCATGAGTGTATTAGTTTGCAATTTGTGCACCAGGTTAAAGCAAAGATGCCGTAATCAATGCAGACTGGTTACATCCTGTTTTGTGATGGCTATAATGACAATTTTCATTATTAATCCAAAATCTGAAAATA